AATGGGGCCTGCCCAGTGAGCGAAGTGACCTTTGTGGCCCAGGCAACTAACAATCATTCCAATGAAAGGCTAAGGCACAGGATTCTCGCCACCGAAGGATAAGCACGCACACACAAGCACCTAACCCCATGCCCCCATCTGCGGGGCAAAGTATGCTTGGGAGATAGGTGCGCATTGGCACATTGCCATGAGCTGGGTGCCGAGCGCAGGCAACTTTTTTCTTTCTTGAGTTTTCATATATACAGTCAAATCTCAATAATTCGAACTTGAAGGGGCCCGAAAATTTGTTCGAATTAAAAGAAGCTCAAACTAATGAAAGCTAAGTAAATAGAGGGCTCCCTATGCAGTGGCACATGTGCATTGAGCTAACACACGAGGAAAAGTTTCAGAAGACTTAGATTTATTCACAAATTACAGGACATCCATCATTAATTGAAATAATCGGTAATGCGCATCTGCACACGTTTGCCTTGCAGCGAGTCAATTTTGCACGCAGCTTGCAAAGCATGTCTACTTCGGCTTCAGAATTCTTCTGGCGCAGCGACGTCCGGCGCCGACACTCTCTAAAGACGACAACAACAACTGCATCTCAGCTACTACCCTCTGCGCCAAAACCGCAGCGTGGCCAGCACGTGACAAGAAAGGAGGAGCCTCTCCATGCAGAAATACGCATATTTGCATTTGAGATAAACCAACACTCCACGGCAGCTTTTTTTTTTTTGCTCTCTTCGCGCGCATCGTTGAAAGAAGAGTTACGTGGCAGGGACGAGAAAGGGGGAAGCGTGGCACAGGCACGTGAAAGAGAGCCACACTCCGCGACAGCTTTTTTTTCCCTCTCTTTGCGAATGACGCTGAAAGGAGAAGGGTCTTTACGTGGCAGGGGCGGAAAAGGGGGATAATTGGCAAAGGCGCATCGCGAATCGGCATTTGAGAGAGAGTGAAAATTCCACCGCAGCCTTTTGTTTCCTTTTCTTTTTTCGCGCAGCGTTGAGGCGTTGGAGGTGCCGCCGCGGGATTGGGCGGGGTGCTGAGAGCATTTCCTGAGCACGGTATATTCGAATTAACCGTCGGAAGTGCTTGCACGCTCGTGTTACTAGGTGTTTTCGCCCATTGAAATACACATAGCTTTGACAAGACCTCATCGCAAGTTCGAATGAACCGGAAGTTCGAATTAGGCATGTTCGAATTAATGAGATTCGACTGTATATAAATACGTATTCATATACGGTGCATAATACCGGTGGCAACAGCGAAAACCAGCGAGACTATGTATAATTGCTATCACAATAAAAATCTCTCTACGCAAGGGCTATCGCATGCATATACGTTACAGCGCGCGGCTGTGATGGAGTAAGCTTTGTAGGTGATGCACTGCACGAAACTAGCTATGGGGTGCTCAGCTTGACGTACGATGGTAACGCGTTTCTTGTATAGCCACGCCAGTTTTCACTAACGGATCGCTGTACAAACGTATGCACACATGTCGAAGCTTGACGAGTCGTTCGTCAGCTGTGTCGAGAGTTCAGCATGTATACTCTTTTCATAGATGCGAAATGATTTCATGGTAGTGGATATGGTCATGCGAATGAGCTGAAGTGTTTTCCCGCGCATTTCCAAACATAGAAAAGGCCATGCATTTGCCAGTGCAAAAGCAGGGCAGTCTCTATATTGCCATCACTATCGTGTAAAGGTGCCCAAGCTAGCTGAACAGCGGTGCTTTCTGGTGGTGCTAACGTGTGTTTTAGACTTGAACGTATTTTCAGGTTCTGAAAATGCATCAAAATGTTAAAGATTGGGTTTACTGTATAGCAATAAATATCTGAGCCTGAAATCGCATTGTGATTTATTGATTGATATGTGGGGTTTACCGTCCCAAAACCACCGTATGTGAAATTGCATCGTGGATTTTCGTTGCAGCGGGACGGCAGAATAAAAAGTTTTCATTGTGGCGACAATATTTGTGCATTGACTCCCATGGACTGCTGAAGGGGAACCATGAATTTTTCGCTGTAGCGGGAATTTCGTTGAAACGGCGCTCAGCGAGGTTCGACTGTAGGACCCAGACTAACCGAAACTCTGCTGAAGTGAACTCGCTCTGATTCACATTCGTGAACGTTTTTGTCAACTGCACTCAGACTCACCAGAATTTTCCGCAAGCGATCTCACTCGGACTCACACTCACGAAGATGTAACTCAGCCGGACTCACTCAGATTCCAACTCGTGAATATTTTCCTCAAGCGGACTCACTCCGGCTCAGACTCAAATGGTTTCCTCAAGCGGACTCACTCAGGCTCAGACTCACCTAAGTATAGCTCACCTAAGTATAGCTCAGTCGGACTCACTCAGAGTCGCGCCTCAATCTGAGTTCGAGTGAGTCTCAGTGAGTTGACTCTTCGGCGAGTTTGCAGACCTATGCTGGCCGCTGCAGTGACTCAAATGGCTAACCCTCATAAATGACATGGAGCTATCAGGCGTTCTTCAACGGGGTTGAGGGCAGGCAGCTGAGGGGGTTTGGGAGGATTTCGGTACCTGTGCGTAACACTCATCGTAGAAACTGGTCACGTGCTGCTGTGCCTACGTAGCAACGATCCTCACATTGATGGCGATACCTTTTTTTTCTCTCCTCCTGGCTTGGAGGCGGCGCGCACGGTCAGACCAGACACCCCTGTAACCCTCTTTTCCTCTCTTTCACATTCCGCTCTCTCCCCCACCATCTGCCCCCAGTGTGGCATTGTTTAAGTCACCTACTGTGAGAGAGAGAAAGAGAGAGAGAGAGAGAGAGAGAGAGAGAGAGAGAGAGAGAGAGAGAGAGAGAGAGAGAGAGAGAGAGAGAGACAGTTACGACGACACAAATTTCTCTTCACTTCCCCTCCCAGTGATGGAAGTGACTACTTTTTCGAGCACACTTTGAAGCATGAAAACTCCTACTTTGGAGCAGCCATAAGAGTTCCCGAAGCAGAAAAAAATGCCAGTATAGAGCAGCTACTAGTGTTTTAGGATCAGATATTAAATTTGCCACGCATTATTTGGAGTTCAGAGCATTGTCGAAACATCTTGTAAATATTTTTTTTATTATGAAATGTATTTACCAGACAACAATCAAAGTAAGTTTCATGAAGCAAACAATGACAGGTTTTCAGAAAATGTGCTGTGAAATGATCTACAATTTGAAATTAGTATTTGTGGCAGAAATCAAATCAAAACGTAAATGCTAAGTGCCACATTTAGAAGTAACCACAGCCCCATAGAGCTGTTGCCAAATAAGGAGTAGAAAATAGGCATGAAATAAAAGCAATCCGGCTCATTTTCACAATTCACCACACTAGCCTGCGTGTCCAGCTGAGAAAAAAATAGCCAAATAGCCTGTATAGTCAATATGACAGTTCTGTCGCACAAATGGGTCAGAGTTGATAATTCTGCACACAAGTAGCACAGTGGGACGAAAGTACACAGATTCTTTTCTTTTAAGTTTCTTGAGGACTTGCGAGAAGATCAACGAGTAAAAGTTTGTCACTCTCCTTCTCTCAGTGTCATTTCAGAGCAGCTTTGAAGCAATTAGCAACAAAAATTACTGTTTGGAGGAGCACAGAGCAACATTTCTCTTTTGTAGCAGTTTAGAGCAATTGGAGCAGCACTTCCATCACTGCCTTTCTTTCAAAGCCCCTTAAATAACGCGAGAGCGCAGACTATTGTAAGCCAACACCTTGGGTGGTGGCGTGCCATCTAGTGAGCATTGTTGGAATCACCGGAGAGGGGACTGAGTGCGACCGCAGAAGTGTACAGGCAACGCTAGTGTACACGCCACCCATCGACATAGGACAAGTCATGAACGAAAGGAGCAAGCTTCTAAAACGACAAGAGCCTGGTGCTTGAACCAGCCCTGCCGTTGCCACTACGTAAAAGAACGGCACAGATTGGATGGAGCAAAGAAAGCGACAACCAGTTGTTTTGGCTATGAGCGCTGTAACCCCTTCAAACAAATCGATGTGCGAGGTCGCCTGATAAGGACTGGACGGGCATGTGCACCTGCAGCTAGTGTCACGTTGATAGATGATGCATCAATGCATTCTGCCACGCGATCCTGCGGTCCGCACACCTTTGCTCATGCCTGTACATGTGTTAATTGCAGTCTAGTGTGCACTTTGAGAGCAGTGCAGCTCTGCTTAGACCCCCTGAGATTCATGCTTGGTTTTACGATTTTCATTTAGTGCCATGACTGTATAAGCGCAACAACTGCATCAAAAGTGGCAGCTCAAGAACTGGGCCCACTACAGAAAACCACTGACATTTACCACAACAAAGGGAAAGAAAACCACAAATATGGTATTAAAAAAAAAAAAACACCAGGCCTGGATGGATCGCACAGCACAATCACAGTGAAAGTTGGAAGAGCGGCCTTTTGTGATTTTTTTTAACACTCTTGGGACACCTCAGACAAGCACACTTGCGTGGTGCCCAATACATTACAAATCATATTTTTTGTGTAGTGTAAAGTGTCCACCGTGCCATTTTTCTTCATTTTTTGTGGAAGCATGATACCTGCTACTTGTAAGGCACTTTGTTGATGCTTCAGCTGATGCAGAATTACGCCTGAGGTCATTGTAATGGGTTGGAGCATGCAATGGCACACTTGTAATGAAATTCGCAGTGTGCGATGCCTAGAAGTAACTTTACTGTTCTAAAATGCTTTATTACACACACTAACATGACGCGATTCCTTATTTAACATGAAGCCTGCATAGGGCCAGTTTGCAACAGAGTTTCAAGCCCCAGTGTGTTGGACTGTTACACAAAAGGCCCAGGTTCGATTCCTATTCTGTCCTCCCTCTTTTGATTTATGTAGTTCTTTCTTACTTCTTGCGATACTGGTTACAGACACCAGTGGCGGCGGACAACTACAGTGCCATTATTGGCCCTTGCTGTCTCGCAACAGTGTTTGCTGTAAAATTGATCAAGCTACAATGGATGGGTAAACAAAGTAGGAAAGTTAATGACTCACCAACAACCCCCAAAGCAACGTGCCAGCTGTTCTTAATTTGAATGAAGCCATCGATGGCATCTTCCAGCTGGCCACCAGGGTTCTGGAAGATGGTGTTGCCAGCTGGGATGAAATACATTGGCACCAGCAAGGTCCCCAGCACTACAAAACCGAAAAAGCCTGCAGAAAAAAATGCCAGAAGCTATTATTCAGTGCAGGTGAAGTATAAACATGAGAGCATGATGCTTAAGCAGCCTCACCGGGGTAAGCAACCGCTGAACTTGTTTGAAGTCATTGCAGTACAGTCGAACACGGTTATATCGAACCCACATATATAGAGTTTTCGAGTACACTCTAACCTCGTTATAACAAAGATGAAGGAGAGCCACAATTATTTCGTTATATCAATTATTCCGGTATATCGATTATAACAGTTTGTGGCAATGTATGCTCAGATAGGCGCACACCTATAAGCATGCAAACAAGGAAACCGCCTCGCTGCTCGATGTACCACTACTCGACCCCACCTGCAACAGAAAATAAACACAGTCGAACCTCATTCATTCAAACATGCTCGATTCGAACTTCCGGTGAATTCGAACTCATGCTGAGGTCTCGTCAAAGCTATGTGTATTCCAATGGGCGAAAACGCCCTGTAATTCGAACCGCAAGCACTTGCATCGGTTAATTCGAACATACCGCACTCCGAAAATGCTCTCAGCACCATGCACAATCCCGTGGCCGCACCTTTTAACGCTGCGCGCGAAGAAGGTAATAAAGAAACGGAAAGAAAAGACTCTGGCAGATTGTTAACTCTTTCTCAAATGCCGATCTGCGACGCACGTGTGCCAAGCTTCTCCCTTTTCCGTCTCTGCACCCAGAGTCCCTTCTCCTTTCAAGGCAGCGCGCGTAGAGAGGAAAAAAAAATAAGCTATCCCGGAGAGGCCTCTTTTCTGGGTGCAGTGGGGTAGCAGCGCCAGTCGTTTGCGTAGTCTTTAAGGCCTGGAGAGGGAAATCGCTTTGCACAGTTTCTCGATCATGTGACCCACTGAGCGCTTCCTCAATCCTTTCCGCTGGCTGTGCGAGGACGACGGCTCTGTCGGCCATGCGTGATGTGGCTGTAAGGTCGGCGCGGTAGTTTTGAAAGAGCCGCGCTGAACACACTAGTCGTTTTTTTGATAAACTATTTGATAGACTAATTTAGTTCGTTAGACCCATTGACCGGTCAATTTTACTTTGTTACAACGAGGTTTAAAATGCGTGGTCCTCAATGGAGCTTTCAAGGGAAATTTCATTTACTTCGTTATATTCATTGTTTCGTTACATCCCATTACATTATAACGAGGTTTGAGTATATCGAACTCGTAAGTTATCGCCTTGAATTTCCTTTGTAAAAGTATAGAAATTCGCACGTTTATATTGAACGGAATTTTCACCTATCTTCAGATATATCGAACGCTGCGCGATGTGAAAGATGAGCTTCGGCAGACGATTTTGTGGTAGCCAGCGAGTCCTAAAATCGAATGTTGACTGCATGCGAACTAAGCAGCATTAGCATTATTTTTTGTTGCTTGTCAGTGAATTCAGGGAAGATGAGGAGAAGGACACTTGCCTTCCCAGCCGACAGCCTGCAGGGGTGCAACCTTGTACTTGGTGACAAATTTTTCCTCAATCACCATCTGGGAAGCTGTGATCACCTGGGCCAGCACTATCAGCAGGTCACCTAAAGGACGGTCAGGGCCAGCGCTTCTGTCAGCCACAACAGATTTCACCTCAGGCTGCCGTTGCATGACGGATGAGACATTATTTCAAGACTACAGTTTTATTACTGCTGTTACATGATACAGCAGAACACCTTTATAAGAGACACTGATATAACATATGATTGGGTATAAAAGACAACAGTGTTCTTGCATAAAAGTAGGGGTTGGTAAGAAAATATAAGAGACAAAGATTGCTCCCCAGCACATGTCTCTTATATAGGGGCGCTACTGTATCGAAAACTGTACTGTTGAACAGTTTACACTTTGTTTTTACCCCTACTTCGTCATATGCCCCATTGACCTATGCTCTTAGCAGAGCCTGTAGGATATAAATATATGGTGCTTGAAGTGTACAAATGCCACTCTAAGACAAAAGCATTGATCTTGAGATGCTGTCTGGTTTTTAAAGTGCGCACTATTGAAAAATCCACCAGGTGATGCAGACCAACGTTTTCAATGTAGTGCCCTAAGTCTAGTAAGCTTTCATGTATATTACATCGTTTTTTAGCATTCATGTACTCACACCTCTGAGAAAGAATATTAGAGGAGGAGGAACTTCCTGGCTGTGGCAGCACATGAGGGCAACATGATAGCGCCGCGGAGAAATGCAGTTTGCGCCGATGCTCTACGGATAATGCTTTTGGCTTGTTGCCAACTTTTACATGCGCGTATATAGATGTGACAAGTAAAAGCGGTTATAGCACCTCATACACTCGAAAAAGTTTCAGATTTCTGTCTGTAACATCAATTGGAAAATATGACAGATATTTCATCTGCAGTTACTAACTCATACCGCCACAATTATAGGCCATACAGTGCTTAAACCAGCAGCTAGTAATGGCCCCTGATCAGACGTTCGCCGCATGCACACACCCCTCAGTCTTCACTGGCACGTTGTGCGCACACATGCATAGGTGGCTCTGGGAGGGAAAGTCTCCAACAAGCTGCCGCACATCCCTTCGAGATTTGCACTCAAGTGCGCTCAGTGGTTTCATGTTGCGCTGGTGGTGCTGGCTCCTCGGTGTTTGCGTACGGTTTTTAAACCGTGACAACAAAGACTGTTAAAGGGGCCCTGAAACGCTTTTTTGAGTAACCATGAAATTAATTTACTGGAAAAGCATATTACCTCACAAATTTAGCGCCGTAAAAATTTTAAGAATCCGTCCAGTAGGAGCAAAGTTACAAAGATTTGTCACACGCTGCAATCGCGCTCCCTCTTCTCTGATCCTGACGAAAGCGCTGGAAGCTAAGCAGGCAGAGATGGGAGGGGCCAACAGAAAACGTCACTCGCGCCTTGTGACCTTCAGCACCTTTTATTTTTTTTTCTTCAAATACATGGCTTTTTCAGTGCAATTGTATGCGCACGCGTGAAAAAGTGACGACCTTTCGCGGCAACCTCTGTAACAACCTAGCGTGCCATGTTCAAGTCAGCCAATGGCTGATAGATGGGCTTACTATGAGCAGTTCTTGGGCTTATTACGTGATTTGTCGAGAAAGGAGAAAGGTATTTTAAGCTGAATTTGATTATTTATTGTGAATTCCAGGCCACGTGCGGCGCTATAATATTGATAATATTTGGCTCGCGTGTTGTCGGGAGCCTCTACTACCTATCGGCAGTGTTTTCAGACAATGCTTAAAAAGTGTTGCAGGGCCCCTTTAAGCTGATTTTGAGCAGTCCTTCAGTATGCGACGGAAATATGCCCAACTTCTACAGTGGGCACGCATCTTGCAAGGAGAAGGTACACCCTCAAAGTTTCTAGTGGTCCAATGAGGTTGGAGGCGTTGGCTCGCGCCATACTAAAGAAAGAGAGAGAGCCGACGCCTTGCGACTACCTTTGCAAGAAGCACTCCTAGGACAGTGGTACAGACAGGCGACGCTATTGTGGAGAACTTTGTTTACCACCAAGCTCTCCACAATAGCACTATTTGTCTGAAAACCAAAACGGCCATTGTTACTACCAGATACCGTGCCTTCAATCTTTCTGTGCCATCTCGATTACTTCTCTGCTTTTACCGCAAAAGCAACAACAGAACAAAGTGGACCTCGTCTGAAGAGCAGAATGCATGCAAGGACAAGTATTAGATACTTCAGTGGCTAAAGGTACGAGCATGCCTTCTGCTTGCAAGGGTGGAGAACGTCTGATTTTCTGTCCTGTAGCCTCCTTTACAAGTTCAGTGCATTGAACTATATGAAGAAACAAGCACCGGCTACTGTGAGGTTAAAAGGCATAATATGGTGCCATAGCTCATATTATTTGCATCGTTTTCAATTTTCCTGTCACAACGGTGGTTTTTCACTGACACCAGATGCTGACATAGAAATTTCTAGGGAAAAAAAAAAAAGCTTTTTAATGATATTGCATTAAAATTTGAAGCCAGTGAGAATGCGCAGAAAAACACCTCCTCAGATATGAAGCGCGAACGTCAAATCGCCGCAGAATAGCCTTGAACATACTAGCTTCGTCGAAAAGTACAGAGAGCGGTGCACACGTCGTTTTTCCTTTTCTGCTGGCAGACTATTGAAAGAGTGCTGTTCCAGATTTCGCAATTTTATTGGGACGCCCAAACAAGCACAGTTTCACCTTCGCAAGAGTTCTTGCTCCATGGGTTGCACACTACAAGGAAGTGCATTTGGATACATTGCATTTGAATCAGTGCATTTGGATCAGAGCATTTGTATACATTGGCATATACAAATGCACTGATCTAAGCAGTGCGACCTCCGTAAATCTATTTACACAGATAATGGGAAGTTTGGTTGCTTGTGCCCTGTAGTTCAGGGTGAAGTGCACTAGATGAGTATGTGAAATGTGACTGTTGGAGCAGTGAAATTTCAAAGTGCACAGCATGGGCCACTATGAATGATCCAGTCGGCAATGAACACGCAGAAAACTGCCAGAAACTCATTGCAAATTCGCTTACTGCCTTCACTACTTTTTCTGTAGCAAAATTAGCATTGGAGACAACTCATCTGCACAACTCCCAAGCAAAAAATTTCATTTTCGTCTTAGCTCCCCTTTTGCAGTTGCAGGACTTCCTGCAACTGTTTGAGTCGCACAATAAATTAAGCATTTATTTCAGCAAGGCAAATAAGAAAGCTATCAGTAAACTTAAGTACTATTTATTGGTGTGGTAGCAGGCATGCATTTCAGCTCTCCGAAGTACTGCCAAGAAAAGTTGTCGCTGACAGCCAGCCACTGCGAGGGTACCGACCGGTGATGATGCTGTTGGGGCCCTTGGTCGCATGGCTGTCGGGAAAGAGGATGTCAGACAGACCCACCACGACCAGGCCACACATGACTCCGAGGATGCCAATCCACTCGTACGATCTCAGCCGGCGCCCAAGGAATGCCACTGACAGCAGCCCCGTGAAGATGATCACAGCACCTGCAGACAAAAGCATAAGCTCAGTGGACACTAATTTTCACGCACAAGTGTGGCTGCCATATGGAGAACCATATACCACAGGGAGAACCTGAAGAACTCTGTTCTATCGCTAGACAACATATTGTGCTCCACACTTCACAATCACTGCACAGTTACCGCACAGCAGGTTGTGTGTTTTTCCCACAATAACATACAGTATTTACTCACGTAATCCTCGCACACGCATTATTCTCGCACCCCCCACATCGCCCAAGAAAAAGTAAAATTTTTTTGTCCTCGAGTAATCATCGCACCCCCGAAAACTGCTGCAATAATGTCGTCTGCTCATTCCAGCCATTGATGATGATAGCGCACACCATCTGGCGCCATCTCTTAAGCATCAAGCGTACTATTGCACAAAGATTCAATCCAATCTAAGCCAAGCCGAAGTGACCAATGCGTGTTGCGGCGTGTTTTGTACGTTGTGTCGGTAATCTTGGCACTGCATGTTATGAGGAGATACTGAAGCCACATGGCTGCTTTAAGTTGCAAGTGATAGATCATGCGCTAAACAACGACAACAGGGCCGCCGGCAGGCCCTTCGGAGCCTACGAGTTTTGTGTTCGCTACTGGTGACGGCAGCTGAAAGCCACCAAGACACGTTGGGCCTGCTGTGTGCCTAAAACTGGGATTGATGATAAACTTTACTTCTTCAGAAGGGAACGGCAGACGATTCTGTTAAATAGCCGTCAGCCCAATACTGACGTCCTACGCTTACCTTTTGAAGGCTCCTGATGCGTGACGAATACTACCGCTACGCCGGCAACACCTACAAGCTTTCCGTATGGTATTCTAATTCTCGGCTATTTGCTTCCACTTTTTGTGTCTCAAATAAATCTTGCCTAGTGTTGAACCTCTGCGTTTATTGTTGAGGTAAGTCCTAATAAGTACTCCTTAAAGCTTGCTGTAAGTTGCTAGCGTGAGAATCCCGATTTGCAGCCACTTCGTTTTCTTTTTCGCTCTCTGCGTTTTCGTGGAAAGTTTTTCCTGTGTAATACTCGCACCCCCAACTTTGCATCGATTTTCTGGCAAAAAAGTGCGAGAATTATGCGAGTAAATACGGTATACAGTGCTGGCCTGGCAGTTTAGTATTTGGAGCAATTTTTAGAGCAGGTTTCCAGCAGGAAAATAGAATTTAGAATCACTTGAAGCAGTATATGTAAAACTTTTTGGTGTAAACTGCATATGTGATGCATATGTTAAACTCTTTGGTGCAGGGCCGCAATCAACGGGGCCCAGTAACATGAAAGAATGCAACATGCCGGCTTCACTGCACTGTACAACATGTGCTGCAGTGAAGCATTAGTGGCAAGACAAGCATGGCCCGAAATGCTCGAGAATGACAGGTGTCACAACGTAATTCCAATCAGAAAAGATCATCCTAACAAAAAAACCAGCTGTCTACCAGTTTTGAACAAAGGATAAAGAAAAGCTTGTTGCAATCGAAAATTCTGTTTGCAACTGCCTGCATAGACTGTGCATTCTATCATTGCCAAAACTCACACTGGCTGATGCTTCACTGGCATGAACACTAAGTTAGTCTTCTTCCTTTATCAAGCACTTTGGGCCTTCTGCTTTCTCAAATATTTAGCAAATGGCAGGGCAAAATAGAAACACTGAACACTGACCAAAAAAGTTGAAAAAAAAAAAGTTTGTTTTTAAGATATAAATGAGATAGTGATAGCCTGTCTGTAGTGCATACTTAAACCACTTAGTGCATACTTCTTTTATAGCATGCTACTCGAGAAGTTTCGATTGCGAATTACGACAATGTAATTGATAAAATTGACGGTGTCTTGTATTACTGAAGCTTTCACATATGGGTGCATATTGTGTAACGGGTAGCATGGTTCACACCATCGAGCAATTATGCACGTGAAACCTTTTCGAACTTGCTATGCATCCACTACGTTAGTTTGATATGTGGGGTTTAACGTCCCAAAACCACGGTATGATTATGAGAGACGCCGTAGTGAAGGGCTCCGGAAGTTCCAACCAACTGGGGGTTCTTTTACGTGCCCCAAAATCTGAGCACGCAGGCCTACAACATTTCCCCTCCATCGGAAATGCAGCCGCCACAGCCAGGATTCAATCCTGCGACCTGCGGGTCAGCAGTCGAGCACATTAGCCACTAGACCACCGCGGCGGGGCATGCACCTACTACGTGGTCATATGGGAATACACAAGTAAAGTCTTGTGTAATGAGTGGCCGGCTTTAAACCACAAAGTCATTATAGTAATCTACGGTTCTGACGCCTCATGGCAATGTACGCTTGTACCAGGCTACACTGAAACCTCATTACAACAAAGTTGCATCATAGAGCTTATTCCCAACACTCCCTGTTGCAAGACTATTTTTCATTCACTTCATTAAAACCGATATTCTGTTATATTCATCTTCAATATATCGAGGTTATTGTGTTTATTACCACGATAATACATGTTATATTGTGAAGCCTGTATCAGAATGCATGTGTTTGTAAAGCATAAACATTACTTTCACTGAATTTCCAAGCAGACGTGTAGCTGTGTGGTAGAACACTTGCTTGCCACGCAAACAGTCCGAGTTAATTCCTCCCTCAAGCTGAGAAGTTTTTATTATTTTATGTGCATCTTTTTATATGTTTCGCTCACAACCAACGATACCGACGCCGAAATTTCTGCAAAATGAGCTACAAAAACATTTTAAGTTCCCCACGAAGCCTTGTTTACTAAGTTGGCAGGCCGAAGCTTTCAGCTTTGGATTCGTGTCAATAATCACTTTAGGCATTTTGCATTTGCAATTAATGAATTTTGCCCCAGATTTTGTCATTTTGGTATGAGTATGCACTTTCCACAAGCGCCCCGCCGCCAACGAATCTCGAAGTGGCGGCGGCGCACTTGTGATCCCGGTGACAACCGGCGAGAGCGAGCGCTTATTACGCGCAGGTGAGCGCGAAGAGGGCAGGCAGGCCTACACCCCACGAGCCGTCGTTCCTGCCATTTTTGCTGCCATGGGTGCATGCGTGGATGTGCCTTCACCCTATAAACCAAAAAAAAGAAAACTACTTTTGCATTGGCAGTGCTACACCTTTAGATAGCGTCACATATGTGGGGCCGTGCTGCATATAGAGGGCGCTTTACCATTCTTTTCCCATAATATCCGTGTCATCCGCTCATCGTTTGAAACAATGCATGCGTGCATGGTTTTGCATGCGTGCACGCATGGTGTGGCCCCCAATGAAGTTCATTGCCTTTTTTTTTTCTTTCCATTGTTTTTTTTTATGCGGACAACCATGTCGTCACCACCGAAGGGATGTAAGGTTAGGCGCGCTGATGGAAACCCTCCGAGATAACACCGACAACAACCGATCTTTGAAGGTCCATTCCTCACGCGTTTCCGTTTGCGCCGCAAGTTCGAGGGACCGTAGCCTTTGCAATTAGCCCATTAGTTCAGGCAACAACACGACAGCACGTTGGATGCAATGAACTGAAGACAAAAGCAACAAATTGTTATGTTATACAGTTAAACCTAGATATAACTAAATTGATAAATTCCCCAAAAAATTTGTCATGAGGATTTCGTTATATGCAGGTTTGGTATGAAAATTCACAAAATAAATGCACGAAATAAACAAAAAGAGAACTGAAGGCAGAGCTAGTCCAAAACACTCATTTTACAGTAAAAAACTGCATTTTTATTGCAATAAAATTATATGGACGCTCTCGGCGGGTTTTTGCCGTCGCCGCCATGTTACTTAACAAGTACAAATTGATAACCTGCCCCAAGCATCTTAACTTTCACAAGCGGGTAAAAGCGCGCGAGCACTGCTGAAGTAGAGATCAAATGAGTCGGCCCATCTCTATCGCCTGGAAAGTGCGTAAGATAACATCTTCCGCGTGTTAGAACTGCCGTCAAATGTTCAAACAGAAAATAAACCACCCGTCTGAAACGAGCATGAAACAATGTGGGGAGGGGGGAGGGGAATCGTTCGAGTAGTATTAATGAACTTGGATTTCAAGGGTGCTTGCGATCGCTGGCGTGCTTGCGATCTCTGCGAGTATGAGTGCGGTTTCAACGCGAAAGGACTGTGTGAAAAGAGCACGTCTCCTTGGAGCGGTTGTATTTGCTCACACCAGTGTTTTGTAGAAGTTATGCGATATCGGATTCAAAAGAGTTGGCTGCCAGCCTTACTTCTTATAACATTAAAATTTTTTGCTATCGCGATCATTGCATTCCAATCAACCCGCTGTCATATTGTTGCCAGAACTAATCGGCTAATCGTGAAAGCTACCAGCCTGCGAACTCGCGGCGCAAGACAGAAGCCCGCGACGAGTCGACCTCCGAATATCCGCCGTCACCGTGGTCTCGGAGAGTTTCCATCAGCGCCTAATCTGATATCCCCGCGGAGTTGACGTCACAGTTGTCCAAAATTAACAAAAGTCGCAGTTTCACCGCAAGGGCAAAACAATGCGATAGCAACAAGTTGGAATTAATGCCGAGAACGGGAAGCAGATTGAAACGGGCCACGCGCAGTTCACGCACAAGTGATGCATGAAAACATACTGCGAACAAACAACGTTTACCGCTCGACACTTAACGCGCTGTTTAAACAAAAACGAGGCATGAAACGTAATAACAGGTACAGATGCCCCAGTTGTTACTTTTGTATGTTTGAAAAGCGCACTCTTTTCACAAACGGCACCTGTGCGCCCGGCAACTAAACGCAATCGTTCCGGTCAAGGTCTCAGGCGCGTGATTCTCTTCACCGAAGGAGAAGGATAAGCACGCGAGCACAAGCATCTAATCCCCCCCCCCCCCCATTCGCGGGGCAAAGTACAGGTGAGAGATAAGCACGCGTCTGCGCATCATGATGAACTGAGCCAATAAGTGTTCTGTGGCTGGGCACCATGCGCGGGCGGCTTTTTTTTTTTTTGAGCTGAAGTTTTTTTTTTTCCAAGTTTGATGTGAATGGCAGCGG